AGTTGATACATAACTTACATATTTACTTACATAAATGTATGTATGTAGATAGAAACAGGGTATTCATCTAAAGCGTAACTGCTTCGTAATCGCGTGAACTTCGTAAATAGATTGGCTTTCCATACAAAACTACGCGTTTAGATGAATTTGCCCCAATGTGTATTATCTTTGAGTTTAAAAAATTCGATGTTTGTGTTTGTACGAATTCGTTTATCGTATTTTCTTTCTTACACCCTTATAATCACATATATGTATATACATTAGGGTGATTCGGAAATATTTTTCCTCGGAACCATGCTCAAAACTTACATACGTTTAGACGGCAAAATAAGTCTCAGAAAATTTGAGCTCTTAATAATAATATTAAGAATGTCCGCATCGCATCTTTCGATTTCCCATAAGAATAACACAGAATTTTTTATTTTTTTTGATTCTGATTTTTATATTTAACGAACGATACGTTGTACTGTAAAGGTCTTGGAATATTTTTGTAGAGAATTGACCGAGTTGACTTATCGAAAAATTACTTCAGACCTTTTTGTCTCTACAAAGACCGTTACAGTATGTATGTACAACATATCGTTCTTTAACACATGCATGTATGTAATATAAACATATCCTGAAAAAATCAAAAGCAAAAAAAAAAAATCATCATAGGCCAAACTTGATAAAGTATATCAATGTATATTTCGTCTTTCATGCCCTAAAATTTTATAGCAAGATATTAATGATTTGCTAACTACTTTTTCGAATACGAAAATTTAAATTAAAAAGCTTCCCCAATTGCGATAGATATTGATAAAGAATTGAAAACCGTTGTACTATACATCCTATATTTTTTAAGTCTTATACCCAAAATTATGTGGCTGTTAAAAAACATCTAAAACAATAACGGTAATTTGCAGAAACTTCAAACTTGCATCTTATTATACTAAAATTCAGTGGGCTACAAAATTAAATTAATATGGAAAATGTTACTCATACGCCATGTACGCTAATGTACGATTACGACTTGTACGTTATGGCTTATGAGTAAGATTATTTTCTGCTTCTTTTTCATACTAAAAATTTATTACACATTTTCATTTCACCATTCAAAAGTGGTTTATTTATCAACCGATTTTCATGATTAGTACGTTAATTTTTCGCAACAGAACGCACTTAAAAAAATAAAAAATTTACAAAAAAGGTATACATTTTTTTCCTGTTAAAGTTTGCATTTTTTTCATAAAAATGAAAATATCTTGGGAAAATAATCTGATAAGGAAAAACTTTATACAGATCCATAATCGGCGACCCAAAATTAAGTGTACGTGTTTCGGCGATTTTTTGTGTAATTTCAAAACTTTACGAGGGGCGGCCGCTATTAAAAAAAAAAATTATTTCATTTAAATCGTTTTACCTTAATTTGGTAAAAAATTGCATAACGAGAATTGAATAATCGAATATGTGGCAAAGAATTTCGATTTTTTGCTTGCATGCTATTTAGATATGAGCAAAAACTGGGTAAAAGTGAGCCAGGGGCTCATGGCTACTAATCGAAGCTGTGCAAAGCGAATTATTGAATGATATGTCGTCCAATTTCTGGGTCCATGGGAAATCCTATTGAGAATTCTGAATATCAAAATCTTCCTTTCGTGCGGGGGGAGACTCTAGCATACTTTTTCAACTCTCTTTTGCTCTTGTTTTTTAATTTAGTTATACTTGATTTGAAGAAAAAATTTCATTGAAGATCGCATTTGATCGCAAAAATAAAAATCATAAAGTACCGGTTACATTTGATCGAAAATGTAGAAATCCAATCTTAACGGTTAAATTATTATTTTTATTATAAAGGTCGTAACCGTTACGGCCCCTGTCCTTTGCATTCCAGTCGCCACAGCAAATGTGAAAATAATTTTTTTTTCAAAATCAATTTGATTAAAACAAGGAATAAACTTAAAATTCCAGCACTCTAGTATTTTAAGAACTAAAGAGTTTTTAAAAAACAAATGCTCAAAAAAATTAAAATAGCAATTTACGAAAAATACTGAAACTGAATTTCATTAAAAGAAATTTAATTCAATTGTTCTATTTTATAAAGTAGATTTTTATTTAGTTAAGTAAATTTCAGGGAAATAAATATCTGTGCATCGACATAATTTGAAATAAAACCACTGTGAATAACAAAAGAATGTAACTCAAATTTTCCTTAACCACACATAGTTTCTTGCTCTTTTAATAATTGATATAATTTGCCTTGAAAAAAAAAACTTAAAACAACTATTTCAAGATTAAAGGCCAATTTCATTCAACAGTAACAATTACTTCGTGTTGTCGAAAGTGAGCCGTTTAGCTTGCACAGTGTAGACAGACTACTCAATCATCGACGCGTTTTAAAATTAGGTACTTGAATTTTAAGTGCTAAACACATTGAATACATTTGAGGCAACAAGCTCTATGGCTCTGCTTTGCCTTCAACCTCTACTAAACCGAAAATCTTCCATACCTCGCTTTTAGCGCCTTTAGCACCTGTAGCTCAACCAGTTTGTATCTACATAGCGTCATATTTTTTAAGCAGCTTTCCTCTGCTTATCATTAAACATTTTAACAGTTAGTGCATTTTTCTTTAAAATTTAATTTTATTGTCAATTACTTTAATCATATTTTAAAATATCCAAGTTAAAAAATTGAATTAAATCATGTTAGGGAACTTTCTATTCCTTTTAAACAAAATCTTTATGTTTATAAATTATCTATTTGCTTGTAGCCGTTTGTACTCAACTGTTTATCCTTCCAAAATTTTTTGTTTAATATACATATCTCACTCTTCTGGTGCATTGCAATAATTATAAATCTTTCCTATTTTAGGCTTAGTTAAACGCGACGCCAACCGCACCAAATAAGTATACGAAAGTTGCGATCAAAATAAACGAAGGTGGCGACAATCGCGCTCAACGGGGCGTATGAGCAACCGTGACAATGACATTCACATGCTTACTTATGTACGTGTGAGTGTATGAATTCTTCGCAGCGATCGAGTTCGAACAAGCGCCCGTCGGAGCGCTGAGGTTGAAGTTAAAAAATTTATTGTGGACGGAGTTTTTAATGGCCCATTCTCAAATTTATACAGTCGTGACTAAATAGTCTGATGTACATTTTTCAATAAAAATAACTGAATAAAAATAGTTCCAAATTGAAACAAAAAAATCACTGGTTTATAAAAATGTACCTTTTGTTTATAACAAATAAGGCCGAAAAAATTCATTGTATTTCTCATTGGAAAGCTAAGAAAAAAGCGTAAACTTTAGGCCGGCTAGTTATTTTTATAATGAAATGCTTTTCTTCGTACACGCAAATGTTTAGAGCATATATGTAATACTTCTATATTGGCAGTATCTACAAGTGCAGTCAGCAAACATTACAGTACAGATATATAAAAAAAGAAAAAGAAAACCGAGTAATCGCATTTAAGAAATGACACTTGAATTCAAAATAAATCGCAGAGGCGGAACGTTAAAAAAAATTACAGAAAATTTTGTGTTTTCATTAAATTTTAAGAATTTTTCAATAAGTTAAACTGCAAAAATATCGCACAGCTGCTTTTTATGTGAAAAAAGAAGAGATAAATTAAATAATATAGCTTTACATGTTAATAAGTTACTTCCCAAGGTTTTTCATTTGGTATTTTTCGTAAATTTTAATTATTTAAACAAACTATATAAATCCGATTTCCAAACTTTGTGCGAAAACTAAAAAGCTAAACAAAGTTTCATTAGAATTGCAAACTCTTTAATTAAAATTTCTAGAAAATATTTTGGTATGCAGATCATTTCTAGAAATGAAACTTTGTGGTATTTCTTTAATTTTTGCACAAAGTTTGAAATAATGACCTCACTTTTATAAAAAAACATAAGCGAAAAAATTTTAAATGAAAAACAATGGGAATATTATATAAAGATTTACACAATTTTAAGTGTGAGTCACTATACTTATTTATTCCTTTTTACCTAAATAGTCAGTAAATTTGTACTCAGTGAGAGAATGGAAGTATGCATATGTTTGAATTATACATTCTAAAATAATAAATTGCTAATCATTAAAAAAAATTTCAAATCCTTTTTTTATTTCCAGGTAGCTTTAAAATAAAATCTTAATACTTCATCATAAAGTTTCAGTTTGCATAAGTAAACATCGTCAACAAAGGGGCATAACCACCCCACAGTAAAACGATCCCCTTCAAATTTATTTTCTAACGCTACTGATGATACGTCAAATTTGCTTGAATGTATTTGTCACATATATTCACAGATACTAATACATGGAAAACTTGCGCATGCGCAAAACGTACATTTGTCTCAAATCTATCTCCCTTTGATTGCTGAATCCAAACACATTGCGCAGATAGGTTACTGCCAATATAGAAGTATTAAATATATGGTTTAGAGGTATTTTATTCGAACGTGAAAATTTTGAAAATTCATAACTCCAAAATTTTTTACATTGTGTCGAAATAAAAAATACGAACGTGTCTAATATTTTGCCTCAAAGAACACAAAAAAAAATGTTTCGTACGAAAAAAATTTTTGAATGTCAATTTTGGATGGAATGACCCACTGTTTGTAATTACATAGTCCTAATTGATTAATCTAAGAAATATTGTCAAGAAAAGTAAGCATATATTAACCCACAATTTTATACATACATACATATATACGCACATGCATTCCTACATATGCATGTTTATCTAGATACATAAGCATTGGGGTGGCCCTTAAAAATCAAATGAACGATTCTTTTGAGGTTCACCCCTTTAATCGGTAATACCACGGTCACAGATATCCCATATAAGTTGATATCTTCGACTATGGTAGTATCGATTTTGGGTATTAGATGAAAAAAAAAAATTATATAAATTTTTCGAGCCTTCTGTGCGACACGCCTTAACAGTCTCCAATCGGCACCAAAATTTATATGTGATATTTTCGACTATAGCAGCATCGACGTAGGGGGGTTGAGGCTTAGGAAATCTGTTGTAAAAATTTGCTTCTCAACATTTAAGGACCACCCTAATATACATGCATGCAAACACATACAATGTACTATGCCAACGTACAACATCTAGATAAGGAACGTTTTTTTCTCGTAAAGTATTTCGTATGCAAATGGCACTTATACACTAGACACACACTCATCCGTATTCATCTTAGTCTTAGAATTATGCGCCGCACACACAGATCTATACGGTTCGCTTCCCTCGGACGCAGGTGTCCTTTGCGATGGTGAAAGCATACGATTACCGGCCGCACTTGTGACGGTTTCGGAACTTCTCGCGCATGAATTAGCTGGCTTAAAGTTTTTGTAGCTGTATGCGACCGGTATGCTGTGTGAATCGACGACATCTGCTTTTGTCGCATCACCCGCATTCGCGTCAATTTCTTCCATTTCATTGCAGGTTATATTCATCGAGTGTGTTTGTTGTTGTGAGGAGAGCAGTGGTGAATTGCGTTCGGAACTCGAGTTAAATTTATGTACAATGGCGGTGGTGTCACGAGTCATTTGCAGCAAGCTGACTTGCTCCTTGGAAGCACTGCCGCTGCTGTGCGTTCGGTAGTAGCTGGGCTGGCGGTTGATGCGGGTATGTCGCACGACGTTGCAGTCAATTTGTGTAACAGCAGTCAATATGGACGGATTTCGCTGTGAGTCAGCCCTGGAAGTAAAATTTGTGTTTCAGCATTTTCTAGTCAATTTACCTAATGAAGATTTTCAGCGGTCGCGATAATCAATTACGGGCTGGTGTGGGAAATTTACAGCACAATTTCAATTTTTTTAATTCAAACGTAATTTCACTTGACATTGTGCGTGTGGGCCTTTGTTTATCTATTTTTATAGTTTAATGGTAGGACAAGTTTGGGTTTACAAGTACTCAATTCCATTTAAGGCACGACCACACAGAAAATACGATTTTTTTTTAAACCTCTCACAATCTTTTGAAGCCTACACATGAACAAACATGCATACCTGTTTAGGCTGTAGGCGGCATTTCCACTTTTTTGACTCGCTTTTCGTTTCATAGGATGCAGATGGAAGGCGCCGTAAATCAGCGGATTCACCAAGCTGTTTGACATGCCAAAAACAAATATGGCCGAAACTAATCCTTCGCTGAGCTAAAATTTTGAATCAATTAATTCTCTAATCCATACAATATCCTATCCGTCAGGCGGCTTACCTTTTTATCTGGATTGAGAAACATCAGCGTAACCATCACAACATAATATGGTGTCCAACAGATGAGAAATGCAATGATTATTACAAACGAAATTCGTAGCGACTTCATTTTAGCCTTGTGAATTATGCGTTGGCGATTTGTCTGCATAGAGTTTACGCTCGAATTGGGTACCAGCTTTGGACCGAGGAACATTTTTTCACTGCCTGTAATAAATGAGCTTATTAGCACTCACACCTCTCTCTTGGTGACACACCGGTGTGGTGCGTCTACTTACTTGAAATCGTCCGAAAGGTAGACGCATAGGTGCCGAAGAGGATACAAAGCGGCAGTAGAAATGTGAAGACCAGCGTAAATGTTGTATACAATTGCTCCTGCCAATGTGCCGTATAGAAGCCATGCGTCACACATTGATGAAACTCCTCCACGAATGGTCCTCGCGCCACATGAAATATGAAAAACTATAAAACTAAATTTATTTACTTTATCATAAAGAAATATGTTCGGCAAATGTTTATGATATTAAATACATATAGGCCTTTTTGTTCGTTATATACACAATTATTTGTAATATAATCTCCAAAATTTATAAGTGTCGTAAATTTTTAGCCCACACCTGGACGCATGTACGAGGGTGTGGTGTATTTTTACGATGAATGGAAATATAGGGTAGATACCAGTGATTGAATAGGAAGATGATTACCTAGCTAGATAGTAAATAAAAAAAATTGGAAAATTAGAACGTTTTATTTATTTTCTTGCCTAAAGGCAATGTCACACGGTTGGTACATTTCTACATTTTTTATATTGGGACGACAATTTTTTTTTTTGTAGACAAACGATTGCTACAATATAGCGAACTTATATTGAAAAAGTTAAACAAATTCCACGATTGGTATAAAGAAAAATATTTGTACATCCACACGATACGGCATACAATTTGGACCAAATTTTGGACAAATGCTCAATGGTGTGACTATGTCTTATTGTACTAAACAACTTGTGCTTTCCCACGTGATTTTTAATTATTCAAATCCCCAAATCTCAAAAATAAAATAGATTTATGATTTGAAAGTTGTATCAAATACTAGCTAAAATTTATTATTTATTCGACGGGTCAAATTTAGTTGTGATTCGATTCATCGCACAAATAGAAAATAAAATTTATTTTTAATTTGATTCGTCACCCAAATAACGAATTAATTTTATTTGCCGACCAAATCAAATTGGTTCGCGATTTTCCAACTAAAATCGCCCTTTTAATGTAACGCAAGCACGATTTAGGAGAAAATAAAATTTATTTTTTATTTGGTTGATGAATCAAATCACAAATAAATTTTGTTTTTTATTTGTCCGACAAATCAAATACCAAATAAATTTTTTTTCTTATTTGGTCGATGCTACTAAATTTGTTTAAATATGTTGATGGGGCTTAAACCTCTTGCCAGGGCCTTACAAGGAGATTTACTGTGAAAATTGGGGCATTTTAAGATAGACCATGGGGTTTCCATCTGTTGTCACACTATTTAGAAATATTAAAATTTAGTAGGCTTGGTTAGATGAGGCTGATCTGGCCGGTGTTGAGCTGCACATAGACCGGTACGTTCTTAGCGATACCAGTTGGAGTTCGATTTTAGGCGTTAAAGTAGACATCACGAATGATGCCAATGTTTTTTTTTTCGAATTTTAGAAGTAATTTCAGCTCTAATTTTAAGATGTCCTCTAATTTCTCGCATTGATAGGCTCCTAAACGTTTTAGGAGTGCGTTCTTGGCAGTGCGGGACATTGGCGTAGAAAATGATCCAACATTACCCTGGTCTGCCGCTCGCGACACTGTCTGCACCTGTCCATGTTAGTGAAACTCACACTCCCGTTACCATTTCAGAGCCGTCCGTAAAAATGTTGAGGAATCTACGGCTAGGTTTTCATTTATTTTGGTACCATGTTTGACAGGACACATTTTTTTTGTGAGTGGCAACACTGATTTTGACTTAACAGAATTTTCTCACTGTTTACTGCAATCGTTGCCATTCTGCGATTACAAAAATTCACCCTCGTATGCATGCCAATACAATTGTAGCTACATACTACCTACCAACCAACATACTTTCGTTGTACTTTTGTAATGTTAACCGTTAAAAGCAAAGTAAAACGCCACCACGTTGTTATTGTATATTTATGGATATGTGTATGTATGTACATACATACATATTAATAAGCTTACATACATATATTGACACACGTAAAAGTTATCAAACAGAGTATTTATGACGCTTACACTTTATAATACGTGCGCCGTTATATTATGACCACAACTGAGAATAAATTGTAAAAGTTATGTGGCACGTTTAGACGAGGCAAGTGCAGCCGGATGTTGAAAGGAGGCACAGAATAATAACAAAATGAGAAAACACACTAAAAAAACCAATTAATCTCAAAAATATAAAAACCAAAACCACTACGATCTGGTAGCCAGTAGTCAAATTACGCAAAGCTCCATTAACTTCTTTTAGAGGCATAAATATTTACAGATGTACATATACTGGAAGATACAACAATTGAAAGTATGTACATATGTACATATAGTACATTCATATTTTATGTACATATGCACCATGAACATTGCAATGCGAATATTTTTTATTCACCAGAGGTCATTTTTGTGTTAAGTATAGGGTGGTCCATCTAGACCTTTTGTTTTTAATTTTAAATAAAACACTTAAAAGAGAACTGTATGTCGGAATCTTTATTATCATCTGATAGAATAATGTTTGACATTTACTTTTTATTTATTTTATTTTCAAATGTTAGCTATAACTATGCTTTAGGTGGTCCATTCGGAAGGTCAAATTTTCAACTGCTTTTCCCAGCCATTGCGCGAATTACGCGAGTAATGTTGCCTTCCAAGTTTTGAATTAAAAAAAAAACAAAAAACAGATGTGTGATATCACACGATTTCTCTCTGATGATAATGAAGATTCAGTCTTCCAGTCTGTTTAACTTATTTTATTTAAAATTAAGCGACTAAGGTCTAGATGGATCACCCTATATTTAAGTGAAAGAAAGTGTTATTTCTCATTATGTATGCGGTATATATTTTATTTTTATTTTTTTGCAAAAATAGTATACATATGCCGTACAAGTTTTAATTTCATTTAAATCGGACTATAAATCAGCATTTTCTGAATATATCACCTCCAGTTCCACCCAGCGGATCCATTTTTCTTAAAAGTATTTCTGATCGCACCTGCAGCATTCCTTTATAATATCATCGAAATCGGACAATAAATAACGCTTTTCTGAATATGGGCATTTCCAGGGAAAGGTCTACCGAGGAAAAAAAAAATAGATGTCATATACCTCTAAGTTATTTATGGACCAATTTGGCTGCTTTTGATAATAAATATGTACGGCTTATGTTTGCTGAAATATTTTTTTTTGCAAAAAATGGTTTCGCCAGGTGACATCAGCAACGAGATATTTTCAAAAGCCGTATTTATGCTCCGATTTGTTTCAAATTTGGACTGCATTTGACTACAAATAACCTTCCCCAATTCGCAGAGTTTTAGACTTTTGTAATCGAAGTCAAAATCCACGTCTGATTTTTGTTACGTCACGCTAGCGCATACGTTTGCTTATATCTTTAAACCTCTACTATCAAATTTTGTAAATTTTTTACTGAACAAAGGGCTACTTAATTGCTATGCCAATATAGAAAACCTTTTTTAAATTTTTTTTATATATAGATTAATCATAATAACAGTTCCACTCACCTGAGGCAGACTTAGCAGGAATGATAGCACGTATGTACCGCCCAGCAGCCGATAGCATCTTTTAGCCATATTTAACGATTTCATTGGATATTTAACGGCTATCCAGCGATCCACACCAATCAGGACCAGCACATACGTTGACAAATACAGGCTAAACATTTGGAAGAGCTTAACCAATTTGCATGTCAATTCATCGGCCAGCCATCGCACCGTGTAAAACCAGGCGGCTTCGCCAACAATGCAAAAGCCAGTCACCAACAAATCGGCAATCGATAAATGGAATATTAGCGAATAAATAGCGCTCCAAGTGTGTCGTGAGCTTCTGCGTCGAATGCGCGTTTTATAGATGTTCCACATGGTGAGCAGGTTGCCAAAAAACGATAGCACCGCCATTACAGCCAACACATAAACCTTTATCATCGTCGACGCAGATAGTTGGGGAGCGTGTGCCAATTGAAGTATGTGGCTGTCATTGTTCTCTGACATTGTTGTTTGCTGCCTGCTGTCCACCAGCAGTGGGAATAATGTAACATTATCCAACGACGCATCTGGTGGAATTGTGAAGAAGATCTCCGTCAAATGCGGCAGAGAGGCAGCTGAATGCACTGTTGTGGCAGCAGTTGCTGCAGGCATCGTCGCGCTCGTGACATTTTTGACGTAATATTCCTGAGTGTTGGTTAGATTGTCAACAACAACAAGTCGGCTTAAGGCTTCCGTTAATAGATGCGAAATGCGTGGTTCTGAAAGGCTTTCACTTTCCATTTAAATAGTTCTTTTGTGTGATTTCTTATTTCTCTTATGCTGATATGAGAACTTAAAACTTTGGTTGCTTGAACATATTTTCGTATTAAAAAAAAACGCTTTTTAGACTAGTATTTTCGCTGCAGTAACGGTAAAGAAATAAAATGAATAAAAAAAGTTCTACTTATGCAAGTTTTTATTGACTAAACATAGTCATTGATCGTTTTCCCTTTACAGTTAAAAAATTGGCGACCACCCGCCACCAATCCTTTTCCTGTTCCTTTATGTTTAATATTATACACTATGCTTCTTCTTATTTATTTATTTTAATCTTAAACATCTTGTTTTTAATAATCGTTCTCCATTTTTCATTTCGCCGCGTTTGTACGTTATCCTCTCACAAAAACCATTTACCATTTGGAAGGCGGCATAAATCATCCCACAATTTGGAGACGAACTCTGTCAATCATTTAGCAAAGGATTTACGTCAATCACCGTTTGACTGCGTTAAATTTGATTTCATAATTCTTTCAAATGCGTTTTGGTATTCTGGTGAGTTTCTACGATTTCGCAAAGAAATGTTCTGCCAACGACTCGACTTAAAGTTTTTATTTTATTACATTCAAGTATTTTGTAGCAATACTTGTGAGTGTATTTGTGACAGAGCTTCGAACTTTTCATGTAGAAAAGGATGTGAAAATCTTAAAGTTTCCAACTGGCACGAAAGCAAGAATATGGAGCAAAAACGGTACAGATATTAAATCCTACTATTTAATATTATAAATGTGAAATTTTGTATATTTGTGTGTTTGGATGTTTGGGAAACCATCACGCGGAAACGAATGAACGGATTTGCATGAAAATTTGCACACATATAGTTTACGACTTAGACTGGAAAATGGGATACTTAAGAGTTGCCACCTGTTAAAAAAGTTTAATTAAATCAATACGCAGAAACGACTGAACGGTTTTGCATCAAATTTTGCACTGAGATAGTTTATGAGCTAGATTTGAAAATAGGCTACTTTTTTAAGAGTTGCCACCTGCTAAAAAAGTTTAATTAAATTAATATGCGGAAACGACTGAAAGGATTTGCAAGAAATCTTGCACACAGATAGCTTATGACATAGGTTGGAAAATAGTTTTGTTTTTGCAAACTTGGTTAAATAATAAATAATTATTGCCGCTAAAAATACTAATTTTATTTTATTTAAGGCTTATTAACAAGAGAATTCGAAATTTTTTTATGGAAAAGTGTTTTTGTGAATACTCACTGTAAAAAGTGCCTTTAGAAATTCCATTAATCGATTACTAATCAATAGTTGCAATTAATTGCAATTAATTTTATTTGGCTTGTGATTAATCATATGATTAATAAATCGTTTATTTTCGTTTTTATGCGCCATATAGAGATAATAGTGACTTTTAGCTCCTTCCTAATCAACTTAAAGTTAGCTTACAGTTAGATACATTTCCTGCAGGGGTGTGTGTGTGTATATACACACATATGTTAAAAGGAAATTGTCAATGGCTGTTTTTTTTTGTGCCCCACTATTTAATTCGAATGAAGTTGGTATTTTTTGCTGCGTAAATATTTCCTATCGCTTAAATTGCTTTTTAATTGAGGACCATTATGCTACCGCTGGCTTCGCTCATTTCGTTTAATTAATTATGTTAGTTAGGAAATATCTGCGTTTGAAAGCATGATTAGCAAGCCAAATAAGTTTGCTGTCACAATTACATGCAGACATGTGTACATAATACTCGTACGTACTATGTATTATCATTACATTGCAAGAAGCGGAATTTCCTTATTTCCTATTAAAATCTTCTAATTGATGAACCGTTGGTGGTAAGGCTATAAAAAAATGTGCGCGCCATTCGTCAAGCATCTATGTATTTCTTAGTGGCATAGGTGTGTGGGTTAATGACAAAACAGCTTTTCCGCGGCATTCAAAACTTGTTAGACAAATAATTTAAGTGAAAGCTCGTTTTAAGTTTGAGAATATTGAGGGCCTTTGCACAGTGGAAGAGCTCCATGTAAAATGTGGTAAATGTGCTCCGATTTGGCTGAAAATTGTAACGCAGAGTACTTTTGCCTAGGAATGAATAAATATGAAAAATGGTTGAATATAGCCGACTTCCACTGCACTAGGGGACGGATTTGTCAGTTTTTTACGTTTGAAGAGGTCCAGCATAATAAGTTGCCTAGTACTAAAGTATGCAACCCGGTCCTTTTGCACACTTTTTAAAACTACCACCCAGTGGAACACCTGGTCCTAAAACTTTTGCAGAGAATGCAATATTTAAGTGCTTTTTTTTATCCAGTACATGTCTTAATTATTGTTTCAATAAAGTATAAATAGTTTATGGGCGAAATGAAAGCGTGAATAATTGATGTAAAATCTAGCAGTATACTCTTACATACTCGAATTTACGCAAACTGAGGTAATTAGCAGATATTCGCCAATGCACCGAATGGTTTCCACCACCACCACGAGGTGTGTTTCCTATCAAATGTGAGCACACCTGCATATCTATATAATATAATCAGAGCCACTAACTTATTTTTGTTTACAAAATCTTTCAATCTTACATTTGCAATATGTATGTATGTATGTATGTATATATGAATTTATTTTTTTAATTACATCGATACACAAAATACATCATGAGCGTTTTATGTGAAATTAACCAACTTTTAGTTTCGATTAAACTCGATTTTTTTTTTATTTATAGAGTTTTAATAACAATTTTCTGTAATTAAGCTGAAGTGCAGGCGTCTTTATTGTTCATAAGTATAGTTTTTCACACCTTTAAGAAGTCAAAACAATGATTGTTTACTGCATATTATTAGTTAAATATGTAGATAAACAATTGTTAGTCTTACTAATTTAAACGCGAACTATTTAAGCTAAGTGTTTACGCACGCTTTTTTAAAGTCAACAATAAGTTTACACTGTACATATCTACAATTGGGTTGTGATCAGGTCTGGAATTTTGTTGCAATGTCAAATTCGTATAGATTATTAAGGAGATATATACATACAAGCACACAGAGTCGGCCTTAACCAATTGGTGATAAATATGAGGCATTCTTTTTCATATCGGACAACAAATTTGGTGTCGCACTTTCGTACGTATTCGTGCATTTCTTTTTCTTCGGATATATGATTTGTCAAAGTGTGGATTTTTTCGTGTTCAAAATCGGGTTTTTGCCAAAATGAAAATTTTATTGCGGAATTATACATCACTCGAAAGGCGTTTTCAAGTTGAAGTACAGAAAATTACTCAGATTTCAAATTAGTTTAAAATAAAGCGAAAAAAATCAATTCAAACATACAACTTATACAAATGCCATACATGCACAGGGGGAGGAACTGCGCCCTTAAATGTATGCAACAATATTGTCACTGAAATTTAAAGCTGCCGTTTAGGAATACGATTTATGTAGATTAACAGCCCAATTCCCAAGCCAAAGCCAAAACTCAGCGACTGACTAGTGTCTTTACTACTGCGCCTAATACTATGCCTCAAATTTATTTTAAGCTCTGTAATGGTGACAATTTTCATTGTTATTGTTATGACCTAGGGAGTACGCGACAACGGCGAAACAATGTTTATATCGTATTTTAGGCGCAGTAATTGTGACAACAGTCATACGATGAATTTTGTCAGTGTTGTGGGAATAGGGCGGTAAAATACATACAAGGAAGAAGGTAAAGCTGAGCATGTAAAAGAAGAAAGGGATGAAGGCAAAGGTGAAAATAAAAGCAAAGAAACCTAAAAGTAAGGAAAATGGAGAAGGTAAATTTGAATACTTAATATAATTACAAAGGTGGGGGCGAATATGTAGATGAAGTAAAGAATGAAGGTAAAGATAAAGGATAAAGGTAAAGAAGAAGATAAAGATAAAAATTTAAAATTGAAATTTGTATTATTTTATGTTATTTTTTATTTTCTCCTGTTATGTTATGTTATATTATGTATATGTAACTTTAGTGGTTGAACTTCAACCGCAGGGAACTAGTGTTTTATATAATTTTGCCAAAAATTTAGTATTTTGCAAAAAAAAAAATTTGGAAAAATTTTCAAATATTTGTTTTATACCAAAATGCTAGAAAACCACTTGAATGATAATATAAAGCTCAAGTTATTTCCTTTCGTTTGGTATGTTTGATGAATTGCTTGTTATCTTCTGAGTATGTCTATTTGATTAAAATATATGGGCATAAATGAGATTTCATACAAAATCAAAATACTTCATCATCATTTTAAAAGCACATGCCGCTGATCGCAGCATATTTATGTATGTAAGTATGTACATAGATTTATTGCAGTTATTGTGGATCTAGTTATCTGTTAGTAATCTAATGTATGTATCTATGTATGTACATACATATATTAGGGCAGTCCAGAAAAGCAAAGTTAGAATTTTAATGCCCCCAGGATTGTTCTATATCGAAAAAATATACCCCAATTTTTAACCGTCTTCACAAAAAGGAGGAGGGTTATCAATTCGTCGGAATATATATAAATATATATATTTTAAGGAAAGGTGTTACCTCACAAGTGGTCCCATATTAATTTGGCTTAAATCCGATCATCGGATCATCAAGAAATGAACGATAATCTGAAATTTTTATATGGGAATTAAAGTCGGTTTTGTTTTCTGCTTAAAAATTACTTGTTTTATTTTGAAATCAATAAATATTTAGAGGTCGGTGAAAGCGCTCAATATATTTTATATGGAAAAAACAACTTTTCGTAGAAATGGTAGAATTCTTTAAAATCAATATTGTTCGATCGGAAAATTCTGGTTCTCTTCAAGAGACTTCCAGTAATAATACCCAATTAATTATAACGGCAAATTATCTGCATTTGATAGCAGGAGGTTGCGGATTCGATCCCTGCTGAAGTCTAGAAAAATAAGTCTGATGAGGAGATATGGCGATCTCCGAAATAGCAGCTATAACCTTTACCGCTTATGTTGATTTTTACTTTCAAAACGTGATACAAAGCTCAATAACAATATTAAATAAGATAGGGGTATATGTTTTTCGATATTTAACAGTCCTAGGGGGTGAGAGCATAAAAATTCCGACTTTACCTTTTCACATGCATTTTTGTACCACCCTAATATACACACATATTATATATTATATACATACATATGTATGTATGTCAAATTAAAGGGATTGATCTGTAGATGTACAATCACGTTTGATTTTTTCGAAAAGAGTTGCCACCTGATAAACAACTAAATTCATATTACTTAATACGTAAGTAAAGTATTTTTACATATTTATTTATTTTTTCAATCTGCATAACAGGTTTAAAAATCTTAATTCTTATCACAATTATGATAGCTATACCCTTTTGGTTTAAAGTTGCTCGTCATAAGGCTGACTGGTCTCTTCTTCGCAGGCGGGGAAGGTTTGCTGTATTGCACAAGGTGTTAGCCAATGGTTTTGGGGGATGGCGTTATTTTGTTTGATACCTTTCTGCGCTATTTTTCACATCATCTTTAACAACTGGTATAGCAAGGTCCCAGTGTATGTTCCCATTCTCTCTCGGACAACCACCCCGCCCCTGTCAACGCTATCAGCGTTTTCGGTTGGTATCTCTGTAATTTGTCAATATTGGTTGCACAGGTCGTACCCCATAGTTGAATACCGTACATGTAAATAGGTTTGATAACACTTTATAATCTAATTTCAGTTTAAATGTTTTGTAAACACATGCTTTTATTTAAACATACATATATTTATACCTTATTGCATGCATGTAAGTACATACATACATACATATGTATGTATATCAGTAAAGAAAATCGCAAAATATAAAAGAAAGTAATTGATATATTTACATTTACAAATATCTTTGACTAATTTTACTAACTGAAAAGTATTTAATTTCAGGTCGCCTGTTGAGATACCTACACACCCTGTGTTGTATCCGCATCCACCCTGTGTTGTATCCGCACCTGAACGTTAAGTCAGCGCATACTAACATGGCCAACAGATATTTGGCAAAAAGCG